CCTTTTTATTTTAACAATTTTGTCCTTAGATCTCCCAGCTCCAATTCAGACATCCTGCTCCACCTCTGACAGTTGCCTTTGCATCCATCATCCTGTTTCTCCCATCTAGCAGGGAAATCAGCAATTCTTACTTGGATTGGATTCACGAGGTTCCAGCCGGGCTGCAAGAAAATGCGGCAAGGATGCCAGATGTATGAATGTCATCCAAGATGGCAGTTGCTTGGCAGTCCAACAGAGACACAGACTGAACTGACACTCATACCTTCACTTTGTCATGACATAGCACATAGTGCTATGCGTCCACCTCCTGCCTGAGATTACAGGAACTTGTAGATCGGAAAGGATGTTGGGCCACAGCCCTCAGGAGACAGCCAGAGCGCAGGAGAGCCAAGGGGACATGGGAACGTGGGGATCATCATGATTGCTACCAACTTTGCGCCCCGCGAAACCAAATGCTGGCCCTTCCCAAATGCATATCAGACTTGCAGTAACACCTACGTTCTTTGCTGCCTTTGGCACTCTTTGCAAAAGACAAACAGATATGCAATAATTATTGCCTTAATTTCAACACATCTAGACAAACTGCTGCTTACAATATGTTACCAAATCATTTGTGTCTTTGATTAGTCATTCCCCAGGGCAAACTATATTTAAAATCAGGAATCCTGTTGGAATAGAAGGCGCCTCACCTTTTTAAGAAGAAGCTTTAGTTGTATAACGAAAGATTAGCCTCCATTTCTTGGCCGGTAACTTCCTCCTTTCACCACACCTACTGTTACTGGTGGAAAAAAAAGAGCAAATTGTTGTCAGAGACAGCTACCAACATGCCAAAGAAACTGTGGGATCCCTAGAACCTTTTACCTGTAGAAGTTCCATGTGGAAGTCCATATGCTGAGGTTGTATGTCATGTTCATCTACCTTTCCTGTGGGGTGAAAACAGGTAGGAAATCAACCATTTGTTTTGAATGTTTTTGTCAAATAAAACATGTTTTCTGTGCTTTGCAGAAACATGAACATACCTACCCTCTGCACTCACTACAAAGTTACTGTGCAGGGTTTTTCACTATTATTTATTTTGGCAACGCAAACTATACTGGTTACACGAATGCAATCCCCTCTGAGAGTTCCGACTGTAAAACTGGATGCAATTTTTATTATCTTTTCCTCACTTTGCAAAAATTATCTTATGAAAGTACTATACATTGACACTGAAAATGTGGTTTGAAATATTCAGAGAAGAGTGTTTCTTTCCAACAGCGTCTCCTATGACAGACATGAAGGATTTCATAGTGAATATTGCAAAGGATAAATTGGCATTAATAAACACAAAACTTCATTTGATATCCTCACAGCCTCATCAAGAATAATCCTGTATAATAATAAACAAATGTACTGCCTTCTGTTAGCATACACATGGGAGCAAGTGGCTTGGTTAGTCATGTTACAGCTCTCTGCTTTGTAGGGAAGATACACAAGAGTGAAAAAAAAAAAAAACACAACAGCATTCATATAAATACTGACCAGCATTTCATCAGGTTCCCTGCAGTAATCTTGGGGTTTCATTTTTGCTTAGTTTGACGGAACAATTACAGTAGGAACTGTGGAAATAATAAGTGGTAAAAGAAAATGGTGTGAAGAGGCACCAAGGAAACCTAGTCATATAATGAAGACCATATAAGAGGTGAAAGGAAAAGTGATGAAATCTTTTGATAAAGCTACTGAGTTTTGCTGTGTGGTGGTGAAGCGTGCCTAAAGCTGAAGACTTCGTTACTGATGCACAAGACTAGTCTTTTGAAACAAACTGTAAACTCCAAGCAAGGTGATGGTGTTTTGAAAGTCAGTGAAACTGCAGGCAGACAGAAGCAGCAACACATTTCTTTGAGGATGGCACAGGGTGCAGACTGGGTAAACAGCCCCTGCAGTGGGCTCTGTGTGGCAATACAGTCTTCCAAGGATCAGAGCTAGGGTAACTACAAATCTGACCCACTGAAGTGAAAAACTTTTGGAATTCACTTTGCAAGTGGATATACTGATGAGATTAAAAAGTTCAGATGATACCTATTCGTGCCACAAGGCCTCAAGATCACATCCCAAAACCATCATTATGGTAGGCCTTGCTTGTCCATAGGATGAACATCCAGGAGAAAAGAAGAACAAGTCTCTGAACGTCATCTTCAAGAAAGGAATGAGAGAGACCAAGGGAACGCAGGCCTTAAATAGCACTGACTGTGCTAAAGGACTACGGGGTCTGCCTGGAGACATCCTCATGAGGAGGACGCTCCCATCTTTCCACTGTGTCCAAAAGAACAAGCTATTCTGAAGATTTCCTGCCTGCTGCAGTAGGGCATCTGAGGCTGATCTCAAGCTCGACATGAAGATGGCCATCTCCCACACAGGAATTTCAGTTAATAGATTTGCATGCCATCTGCTGCAGGGTGCTGAGCTATCAGAGCACTTTGCACAGGAAACAGGTGTTTGCCATCCTATTTGATATATATAAGACAACTAAGCACAGGGAGAAAAATGAATTGTCTGAGGCTGTCCAGCAAGCTAATGACCAAGGCAGGGCTAGGAGTGAGTTAAGGGGACACTGGGTTAATTGCCAGCAGCATTTATTTACCTTTCCTGGAGAGAAGTGGTCTGCTGGATGCAGGTGAGTACAGTGTGAGGGTGTGAGTTTCCACCTCACTCACTCGGTCTGCTTGCAGAATTAATCACAATAAGTCTGTTGCCTCTTCAGAGAACTCATGCTGAAGTTTGAAAGACTTTTTCAGCCATTTGGGTAGGAGTCACTGTTCTTGTCAGAATGAAGAGCAAAGCCAGCGTAACTGGCTGTCCTCATGTGCCAGCTTTCCTAACACATGATGGAGGAGTCTGGGATACGTACCAGCCTGCCAGAAGAGAAGCTGGCAGGTTCCCCCACAATCAGCACTGATCTGATTTTGTTCATCAAAATAGAACAAATGTAATAGATTTGATGCAGATCTCACAAGGCTTTTTAAACACTTCCTGGGTTAGGCATCAGGAAATGCCAATCAGCTCCTTAAAATTAGCTCTTCTTTACCAGAAGGTTTGGGCTGCTCTGGTGACTAACAGTACTCTCCTGGGCAAGTCTCAGCACAATGCAGGAGCTATAGGAACAAATTAAGCAATGAGTGCAATCTCGTAGCACGTAGAAGTAATTCTTGCCTGGCATTTCTGCCTGCGTTTTTACAGCTTCAGTGGCAGTAAAGATGATGAACAATACTATGCAATAACACTATGATAACTAAAACAATATCTAGTTCTTAATCAAAAATAAATATAATTGTATTTTTTATATCGCAGTAGTAGCTAGAGGACCCTCACTGAGTATCACTATGTACACTGATGCATGTCAGCAAAAAATGATCACCTGTGTCTGCTAGTTACTTTGAGATCGCCAAATAAGCAGTCTAATAAGAGAACTCTTCCCGCATTTCTCTGGAGTAGCTTGGCACTCTAAGGCAGCGGGGAGAGCAGGCAGACCAGGAGACAGGCACCTCGGTCACTGTTTCTCCTGCAAGCAGGGCCCAGAGTCACACTCAAAGTCCTGCTCAAAGTATTACAGTGGCAGAACACCCTGATTTAAAGGCCACTCATTTCAGCAAATATTCACGGGGCCTAGCTGGGAGTTCAGTTTCCACTGCTCCAGTCCTACTTTTCATATTTTACCACAGGCTTATACAGGAAGGACTCCATGGATTTCAAATATTAAAATTTATTTCTGAATTGATGATAGCAATTTAAAATATCCAGTTGGACTTAACTGCAACATCCTTTTTGTCCATTAACATTTATTCAGGAGTTCTGGGGGCTTTTACAAATTAATTAGGAGACCTGTGACAACTGAACAGATTATTTTATGTACTCGGTACATAGCATTTATATCACTCCCTTGCTTCTGATTTCCACAGGAGGAAGAGAGGGGAAGTTCCTTGTATAATTTTAACAGATTCATCATTTAAAAACTGAAACGCACAGGGTACAGGAGATCTGCTAGAGCACACTTAGCTTACAGTTGTAGGTTTTCTAAACTTCTTCCACCTACTGCACTGCCTTTTAAGCATCAAAGGTCTGGGAGATCTCTCTAGCAACTGCAGCCTGAACACTTTTTCTTGCCCAGGGTGTATGTGTGTGAGTGGCACTCTCTCCCACAAGGTTCTTCAATAAAACAAGGGCGGGGGGGTGAGGGAGAAGGATTGTGAGGCTGGGAGAGGCTACAAAACTTGGAAGGGCCTTCATAAGTGGTGTCTGTCAGGAGACACACTCATTTGATTCACTGCCATTTCCCTGTTGGAGACTATATTGGACTCTGAAGGCTCTGCTGGTGGCCTGCTGGAAAAGCAATGAACAAAGACAGGCTTTCACATGGCAGAGACCACCACGTAAAGCAGCAGTTACAGAAAATTCAGGAGCTCTCCAGCTCTGTATAAAGCGAAATTGGTAACACTTCCCATGCAGTCAAAGGGTGTCCCATTTCACGGTTTGAAACAGCAGGCTGCATTTGCAAGCACAAATGAAGCATTGAGCTGTCCCTCACAACAGCAGGATGCCATGCGGCACGTCAGCTCCAGGCTGGGGTTCCTTATAAACAAAACATAGTGGAATCTCTTCACCCTGCAACTTGTCCAGAGCATCTGGGCGTGCTCTCAGACTGATACAGCAACCATGCTAGCTGCTAGAGGTCTCAAAATATTTCCTTTGGATGGAGGTCAGCTTCCCGACTTGAGACACCATGACATCAATATGGCTGTTAAATCCCAAGATAGCCCTTTCCGGGAGGGATGTATGCTATTTATTAGCAATGTGCAGGTAAATACCGAGGCGCTCTGGCAGGGCACACGTGTTCGGAGTCAGTTATGGAAAACTGGGAATACAGCCCAAGCGCCCAGAGCCTAGTCCCTTCCACGTGAACCTTCTGTAAGAACGGTTATGTGAATGGAGAGTTGAGTCAAATGAGCAGCCTCACAATCACCTGGGGGATTCATGGGACCAGGTACAGCTGCAGACCTGCTGGGTTCATCTCCCATCCATCCAACAGCGGCAGCACATATGCTAACAAGGTTTTTGGAGAGATCCCACGCTCTCTCCCAGCTGCTGGTGGAAGCAGAACTGTGCTGTTTCAGGGAATGCTCTTTCCAGAAGGTATACTTGCAGTCTGGCCCTGAAAAGTACTGCTCAAAGGGGCTACGAGGGGTAAAGGCAAAAGGCAGCTAAAAGAACAGGGAGATATATTCTTTAACAGAAGGCACTGGTTGGCAATGAAGGGCCTTGTCCCAATATGGCAAAAAAAACCTCATTTTCAGGGTAACTTGAGTCACGAATGTGATGGAGAGGAAAGGAGCAGCCCCAGCCCAGGGAGCTCACAATGCATGTTCTCCAGCCGGTGTAGAGCTGGCAGGTAGAAAAGTCCAAGGTGTTTCTTAGCACTAACCTCAGGATTGCCATGCTGTGCTCTTTACAGATCCTGAGGAAGCATGCCCTGCGTTTACAAGTCTCCACCTCGGCAGCGCTTTAATAGGGACAGACCTCAAAGTGAAGCTAATGCTCTACACCAGGCAGAACCCAAACTGTGCTGAACAGCTCAATTCAACAGCCTCCAAGTATCTAGATATAACCAAGAAAACTACCTTCATTATCCATGGATACCAACTCACAGGCTCTCCCCCGCTGTGGATTCCTGACTTGGTACATCTCCTGCTTTCTGTAGAAGACATGAACATCATCCTTGTGGACTGGAACCGTGGGGCAACAACTCTCATATATAGCAATGCTTCCAGAAACTGCAAGAAAGTTGCGGAGATTTTGAAGAAACTTATTGACGGAATGTTGGTAAGTCAGATATTCAAAATATTACATAGCCATTAAAGCACAATATGTAAAGGCCATAAAGGAAGTGTTTAAAAACAGCAGGATGTCTGGGAAAAGACACTCCTAAAAAGGGATATATTCATTCTTGTAAGTACAACTATACTGCAGTGCCAAATTCTATCCTGGGTCTTGGTATGTTGGTATTCTGTTGTAATATTCCATTTTTACTCTAAGTCTCTACATTTCTGGATATGAAACTCTTAAGGATTTGTTTCGACATGCACAGAGAATTGATTTCCATGTTCTGGATGTCCAAAAGTCAGCTTACGGGCATCAGCTACAGTTTGCAGCTCCTCTAGCTGCCATTGCACAGACACAGTCAACTATGACATTAGATGCCCAAGTTGGACACTTGGGCACTGGTTTTTAGTGGGTTTTTACATGTTCATTATAGCCACTGCTAAGAGTTGCCCTGGAGACTACACTGCAGTTTTGTTTGCGATAGGAGTGAACTATTTTAACTAGACAGCCCTAAACTGGGCAGAAGAGGGATTACGAGTACACATCTTAGTGTACTAAGCTATAGCCTCTCCATGAAAAAAAATAGACTGTTGAATTTCCACATCTATGCAGTGGGTACGAGAAGTGACGACACTTGGAACTTACAGCATTTTTTTCCCATGATCATGCTTATATTTGGATGCAAGACCAGGATCTAAACGCATCTGTGGTTGATTGACTTCCATTTATTTAATACATTTGGCTGTAATGTTTACTTGAGCTTTCACTAAACATTATTTTTTTTCAGTTCTGTTTATTTCTCTGTACTGGTAACTTGCTCAAAAATTATATCAATTCCTTTTAATGTTTGTGAAAGGTAAAAACCCATCTCACAAGTACAGGGAAACTTCTTGTTGCTGCAGAGAACTGGCCCCTAACTCGAGTAGCTCTTGTCATCCAGGTGCATAACTAAGGCTCTGGGTTTATTAGACTTTCTGTGCCTGCTAATGCCTTGTGGAAACCACATGCTGGCAACTGGAATTATACTCATGGGGTCCATGAATATTTGTTCCTGTCCACACGTGTTGTCACTGCCCCAAGAAAACACAACGGTTGCCTGAACTGTTCTCCTCAGCTCTCTCAAGGGCCTCAGCATGAGCAGTTGTTGCACTGTGGGATGATCAAAGGGATGAAAGGGGGGATATTTATACAGAGTGGAGCACATACTACGAAAAAATACGCAAAAAGTAGGGAGATACATTTACATTCCTCCTCTTGACATTGTTACGCCTTTAACGTGCCCAGCATCTATGACCATGGGTATTTTCAAATCTCAGATTGATGGAGCATCACTTGACTCCTTTCATATGATAGGAGTCAGCTTGGGAGCACATATCTCTGGCTTTGTGGGACAGATGTATGAAGGAAAGCTTGGAAGAATCACCGGTAAGCCCTTCCTCCAGTCAGTCCTTTTGCTTTGGGCATAGCTGCGCACAGTGAGTGGCGTGAGCTGCCCAGTACTCAAATTATGCCACGCGCGTGGTTCTGCGTTGCAGGCCTTGACCCAGCAGGCCCCTTGTACAGAGGGAAGATGCCTACTGAGAGGTTAGATCCTACAGACGCACAGTTTGTTGATGTCATTCATTCGGACACCGATGGTAAGTGACATTTCACTTCTTTATCATTACAAGGAAACCTAGAGACTGATGGGGAACACAGGAGAGCAGGGTCTCTAGTAGGCAGCTGTGCTGGGGGAATTCTTGCTCCTTTGGCCCAGGACGACCATAGTTTCCTTCCAGGTGCAAGATGCAGCGGGGCTGTGAAGGGCTTTGCGGGCCTGTGTTGCTCACTCTGTGGTCAGGACTCCCTCAGCAGCTGCTGCTGTAATTGCATTTCAAACCATGCTGTTTTACAGCTATTCATCACAACAGCTGAATATGGCCATCAGGGTCTGGTGGACACAACCGCCACTGGGGAGGTGCCAACCCTCCCAGCCACCAGGGACGGACCATACTGGACAGTACTGTACCATACTGAGTGCAGCATTCCCTAGAAATGAAGGGAATGGCCCCGGGGAGGGAGGCCCAAGAAGTACAAGGATGGGTTCCAGTGCAGGAATCCCCTGTTGCTACCCCATCACACGGTCCTCCAGAGCCGTTCCAAACTAACTGCGCTGCTGGGTCCGGCCACAGCCAAGCATACGGCATCGCAAAAGCTAGCCCCACAGCTTAACGCCTTGCACGGAGGGTCAGTAATCCAGAATGCCCCAGCGCCCTGTAAAGTACCCTGCAAGCCTCAAAGAGGGTGGCTTGGCATGATGCTTCCTGCCTTCCTCCCACCCGATGTGGCTTAAAACCACCTTCTGGGGTGAGTCTGGCACCTACCTTAGCTCCTGCCTTTCCCAGCTGGTGCACAGCATGTCTTCAAACCCACCGGCCAGGCTGGCAGCGTGATGCAATCCCGCTGCTCTGCCCCCGCAGGCATCCTCCCCGAAGCACTTGGCTTTCCCACCTCATTGCCTTCTTTCTTCTTCTCCCAAACCCTCCAAGCGGTTGGACTTCATATCCCTTTTGCCCTCCTGCAGGCAGCTATAACAAAAAAACTAATTTTGTGCTGACTCACATGCATGGATTTATTTGGAGCATTTGATACCATTGCTAAAATGACACAATTGGGTCACAACTGTTTGGCCTGCTGCATAAATGGCATTAAATGACATTAAAATTCCTGCACAGGCAGGCATCCTAGAGCTCAATAACTGTTATTTTTTCCAGTTACTTCCTTATGGTTCTTTTTTCTGTATTTTACAGTTTAATAATCCTTTCCCCTTCCTCCCATATTTTCTTTTGTCAGGACTAGGTTACAGAGAAGCACTAGGCCACATAGACTTCTACCCCAACGGCGGGACTGACCAGCCAGGCTGCCCACAAACAATATTTTCTGGTAATTAATTCAGCCTTGAATTGCAAAAACACTGACAAACTATTTCCAGTCAGGAGAAGGCGGAGAAGGCCAGAGAAACACCATCACTGCTAGAAAATATATGAAAACAATTTTCTGGGAAGCCATGAAAGCAATCTCTTCCCAGCATCGATGTGGCACGCTGACACAAGAGGAATCGAGCTGATGGGCACTAGGCAGAGAGATATGAGTCAGGAGCGGTCCTTCCGCTCCCTGTCGCAAACACAACGGGATGAATTTTGCATGCAAAAATTCACCAGGTGAATTTTTACCCTCATTTCATGACTATGTTTAAACCCCAACGATTAGCAACAGCAAGCACCTGTTCAGAAAACAGACTCACGACACGTGCAGTGTAGATTAGACTGTTATACTGAATCCAAGGAGCTTTTCTTAGCAGCGACAGACAGTGCAGCCCAGAAGGCAGAGCCCTAGTCCTGAATGCAAGAAAGCTTTTCTCCTTTCCAGCTCGGCAGCAGAACTGCTTTTGTGAAAGCTGGGTGAAGAGGAGACCTTACAGAAGGAAAGGCAATAACGTGAACTTCCCCCTTATCAGGCACAAGTGAATCTACATAAGAAACTAAACTTGGAACAAAAATGCATAGGAAACGAGGCTTCACTTATTTTGCTGCTCATGGAACAACTCATTTTATTGCTTCTGTCTTTCTAAGTAGTTTTTTTTTTAGAACAGAAATGGCAAGGTCTTGTGCCAAAGATATGCAATATCCAACTGTCATGCCTGGGCTCAGAGAGAAGAAGAGACCACCTGAGATGGAGCAGGATCTGTAGTTGGATCCTCAGGAACTGCAGTAACAGTAGGAACAAGTATGCTTTCAAAAAATAAAGTAGGCAAGTAAAAGACTAAGGTAGACACCGGTAGAGCTGAGCGCACTCAAAGGGAGAGGCTGGTGCCCATTTACTTTTCTGCCACAGTCCAGTGCTTCCCATTTTAATCTGTTGTGTTCAGACTGGTCAGTGACTGTCCGCTGCTGTGTCCTTTTTTGCTAGTAAATTAATGCTGTTTTCCTGAAGCACAAGGATTGCTAATGAAATATTTCTTCTCTATATGTGATTAAGGATTGCAGTATTTTAAAGGTGACCACCAGAGGTCTGTTTTCTTGTTCACATCATCCCTGAAAAAGAGCTGCAATATTACTGCATACCCGTGTGACTCGTACAGAAATTACAGGAATGGCCAATGTACCAGCTGCGAAACTTTTCAGCCTCTGGCATGCCCCATCCTAGGTAAGGAAGATGCAAAGTGAATTGTGAATCCAGGGAACGTGAATACATTGTGAATACATGTGTCCAACGTAGCTACTGCCATTACTGAAACTTTTAATCCATCCATGCGACTGTGACAAAAGTTTTGCTAAAGGATTACTATAACATTATGCTTTGGCAAAAGCATATAAATTATTTCCATTGTGTTTTTCGGGATGATCTCGCCTTGACTTTGAGAGGTACAAGCCCCTGCTGCAGGCAAAAGAGGCCTGAGAGGTTCCCCTGCTCTTTGTATGGTCAAATCACGTTATAATCTAGAGCAGAAATCCACAGGTAAAGGATCCAGAACTAGAAAAGCCAAAATAAGACTTGGTATCCTTACACTGACGTCATAGAAGCAATGAATTGAAGTCCATTAGCTGCAGATTTTGAGGGAGAAGGGCATGTTCCTGCTAGAATATAATCTTTTCTAAGAAATTTTCAGCACCACACACCCCTCTCTGACTATAAAAGAATGGCAGAGAGGAGGCGAAAAAAGGGTATTTTGCTTTTCCTGAGGCTCACCCACAGAGGTGTCCCAGCCTGGGTGAGACAGCACAACTTCAGACTCTCACATCTGAAATGTTGATGCTGACAGAACTCTGACGCTTCCAGAAATGAGCTTTTAAAGCTCAGGGGATTATTTTCATTCTGTACTGCAAAAGCCTTCTTGACCGGGGATATCAGAGGTGAAAAAAGATGGATCTTAAAATAAGCGATGAACAGTAACCAGTTATATTTAGACACAGAGTTGGCTTTAGTTACACAAGTAAAATTAAGCCCTTGTATAAGTCTACAGCGCATAGGAGTATGTTTCAGAGTACTACTACCTTGCAGCTGAAAAGCAATATACCACTTCCTAAATACCTATTGTGCGTTTTCAGTTATTTAATTGCTTACAGTCCTGTGCAGTAACCTTCTGCTTCATTTTCATGCTGTCATCTATAGGTTATTATGCCAGTAAGTGGAAAAGCTATTTCACACGACAGAGTCAGCCAGCGACAAACATGTTTTTTGATACGGCGGACAAGGAGCCATTTTGTAGTAAGTAAGATTTCTGAAATGCTTTTTCTTTGTGTACTGCCTCCTTCAGCAACAGCTGAAGGAGAGATGGTTAGTCGCTACTGGCATCGTAGCCAGCATTTTAGAAACACAGCCTGTGGCTGCTGGACAGAATTAGGTCCATCTGCAGGCCTGCCATTATATTCCATAACTGCAAACATACTTGTTGCTGTGAAAGCACTAGTTAGACATGTGCAAGAACAGGCTCATCTTCCTTACAGAGCAAGGAAATTTGTTGAAAACACATGAACGAAGCATAAGAAGGTAGTAACTACACTGTGTTTCACAACAACATGCTGCTCTTTGGTGCTTGCGCGCAGTCCTGAGACTCGGGCTCGCATCCGGTCTAGCTCAGTCGGGACATGCTTTTGACTCCCGTCGTTCCCACACACCCCCCTCTCACTTGTGCAGGGCGCTGGTGATCACCGTGTGCCTCTGCAAGAGCGCCGACCAGCCCCGAAACCAAGCGGGACGGAGTCTAACCGCACGCTCTCTCTCTGTCACCTCACAGTTTATCACTACTTCTTGGATATTATTACATGGAACAAAGATACCAGAAGAGGTGCCTTCATTGTTACATTAGCTGATGAAACTGGGAAGAAAGCAGAATCTAAAGTCAATCCGTAAGTCTTACGGAGTCGATGAGGTACGAGTGACAGCAAATCACTTAGAACACTCTCTCCCTCCTTCCGTCCCTTCCCTGGCAGTAGGGGCACCTCCACGCCGTTAGGGAGGCTGAGTCCCAGCTCTAGGTGCCCAAGGGAGCCGGCATGAACCTGGGCCTGAATATGTAACATCTGAATACGTAACACTCGCAAAAAGGCAAAATAATGACTGGTCTGTAGGCGGACATGCAAATAGCAGTGCAAGCAGAGACTAAACACACTTCAGCCAACAAGTCCCGCTCGACTAGTTTTCCCAAGCGTGGAGTGGCAGCTCCAATTGCATATTCTCGCAGCTGTCAGCCACGCGTGCTTGCCCTGGAGTAATCTGCATAGCTCTCTGAGGTTTCACAACAGGCCCACCGCGCGCTGCTGAGCACATGACAGCCCACCAGTCAGCATGCTTACGCACATGTGTTGTAATTACCTTTGACAGGTTAAAACTCGTCCAACTCCTCAGACTTTTCTAAAATTTCTAAACAAGGCCAGCTGTTTTGAATGCTGTAACAGGGATACACTTCCAGTCTCATCTCCGCTCTGCACATCTGTAAGGGAAATTTGCAACTCCGGTCAGCTAGAGAGGCCAAACAACAGCTGGCCATATAAAGAACGTGTTGGACAGCCACAGTTTTCCTGGGAGCAGCTCTGCTGCTTTTGCACCAAGGTTGGTGCAGTTTCCATGCACTTCTCAAAGTAAGACTGGCTATTCTGTCAGAAAGGACCAATGCCAACCCCCAGCCCTGCGAGACCGCGCTGTCTTTAAGCCGGTACTGTTTTGCCATCCTGACACGCTGGATTACTCTCCGTTACTTCTGGTCAACTCTGCATTGTTTCGTAGACACGTCTGCTGCACTTGCCAGAGAGCGCTACCAGAAATTTAGTTAGGGACATTAACACCCCCAATGTACACTCTTCCATTTGTAAAGCTACCTCAGCCATACAGTGTTGTTACAGACCAGATTTCTGAGTCTAGTCCACCTGGGTGCAAAGCAGAATCGCAGCGAGGATTCTGGTTTGGGGCCAAAGTAACTGGCATCAGACCTCCGTGCACCGCCCCGGGAACGAGGGCGAAAATGGCAGAGCAGGGTCACGTCTGGGGACCTGAACCCATAACCCTTTCCTGAAGATCAGAAACTAATCATAGTCCTCCTTCCCCAGCACTGTTTCTAATATCTTAGTGACTCTGTGACACCTTGTCTGCTTTATTTTTAGAGAAACTGCAGCTTTTCAGCGGTACAACCAAATCCCTTTGCTAATTGGATTTGACCAGGATCTTGAAAACGTAGAAAGAATTTCCTTGACATTTTCCACCGGGTCTGTCATCGGCCCAAAGTTCAAACTCAGGATTCTCCAAATGAGGTTACGGTCAATTACAAATCCAGAAAGGTAAGCAGAGGACAACAAACCATTTCTATTGTTGCAAACTAGACAGGAGTGAGTGAGTCCCCTAGACTCCTAGCCTAGCTGAGTCCAGAAGAATTACATTTATTTCACACTTAAAAATTCAGCACCTATCTTGCATAAATTCTGCCTGTAGTGCATGTACACAAATCCCATAGTTGAACACCTGCTTGAAAACAGAGCTTGTCTTACTGTATTGAAAAAAAATAATTTGTGGTTTGACCCTTTAACCTTTGGTTAAGAAAATTTCTGGCCTTTGTGTAGCTAAAGATAAGGTGCCCGAACCTGAAAAGCGGACTGAAAGTAGATGTGACTCTCAGGTAAATGCAGATGTCCAGCCCCCAGTACACATTTTTATATCCCAGTCACTTGCTATATCCAGACAAACAGGGAGATTAATTTAATCCTGAAGTTCCAGTAACTGGGAGCTGCTGGCCACTGTGCCCTGAAGCACTGACTGCCCACAACAAGCATGAGGTACCTACCCCATCATTTGCTCATGAGATTTCTTCAGTGGCTTCAGTCACCTCACTAACCTCCACCCGCCATGTGGTCATACCCTTAAGTTTCCCTCATTTGGGGACACTTCTGAAGGAGGAGATCTCTGCCTGAGCCCAGTGAGTATAGAACCTCTCACGGTGACCCTGCGTGCAAGGAAACTATGCGGACATCAGGCCAGACACACTTTAAACGTGTGTTAAAACTAGGATTGTATATCGCACACAGAGAAGGGGGAAGCAAAAAAGGACCGAGCTGCGGAATATGTTTCTTTCAGGTCCATAAAGGTCTGCTGCCCTTCCCTTAGTCTCAGAATAAGGAAAGGAATGGGAACATCCAATGTGCAACGTCCTTTTCCTGCAACTCCCTCCTCCGGGCACTCCCTTTCCCCCGCACGTAGAACAGAATGAAAATACGCTCAAAGCACGCCTGACCTCTGTCACGCTGGAATATCACCTCCCCTTAGGAGCCTTCCGCTTGTCCTGAAAACGTTCCTTATTTTAGATAAACCTCCAGCAGGCTGGAAGGCTTGACTGGAAAAGCGATACAAGAAGGCAGGCACATCTTTCATGTTAAGCCTGGGTCGGTTCTTTCTATGCAGACCACAGCTGTGCAGGTATGACCTCGTCCTGATGGAGAACACCGAAACAACCTTCAAGCCCATTCCGTGTCCGAGCAAGAACAAGAGCTAAGACTTGAACGGGCTCTTTCACCGCGGCAGCGGCAGGCGTCGCGCCCGTCGCAGCCCAACGGGAGAATCAACCGACCCACCTTAGGGTTTCTTGTATCTTCAAGATCAAACAACGGTACAATTCATCGTGTCTCTCAGGGGTTCCTCCGTCGTTGCAGAGGTTTATAAATCAGTCTGCGGCAGCGTGGAAAAATTAGGACACCTCAGCTTTTTCAAGCGTGCTTCCTCTGCAGAGGCTGGAGGCCGCTCTGTTCCAGGAGGAGGGCCTCCCCTTCGACTACTCGCTTACGAAACGATCATGAAACGTGTAATTTGGTAAAGCACTGCTAGGGAATAAAGCTTTGCGTTCCCCCTGCATTCAGCGCAGCTGCCGGGTGGCACCGCTCACTGCCTTCGCGCCTCCTTCTTCAGAAGCGGCGAGACCACCGCACAGCCCAACGCGGGGCCAGGGCCGCGCTCCC